ATTAGCAATTTTTAGGTATTATGTTGGGATATAGTAATGAAACATATTTTTATAGGGTCTATTTATAACATAATGATTTTATAATATATACATATATTTTTATACATCTTTTATAAATGTTATATATTTTAAATAAAATAAAAATAAAAATAATTTTTTATCTAAAGGGGTAGTAGATACTGAGATATGTATGCTCAATTTCATAATATGTAACAAGGGCTTATCATGATTTATGTTTTACCTATTATCATTAATGGGATCGATATCTAGTTTTTTTAATCCAATTTTAATTATTTAAGGGATGTATGTAGTGGTGTATGTAGTGCATGGCCCCTGTGGTGCTTATTATAGCTTGTCAGTCCATCAGCGTCCAGCGACAGAGTGCAAAATCAATATTTTCATCTGTTCGGCATTATCATATACTGGATGTCATATTACATCCAGCAGACCCCAGAAAGATGGCCACGCGCATGCGGACTACAACAAAATGGCGGCTGTTAGATATATATATAAAGCAATGAGAGATGTGACGTCCAATCATATCTCCCTGATGAAGTCATGTGACCAGGTGACACAACGCATAGGGGCTCTGACATCACAACGTTGTCTCGGACAGAACAGCAAGTATAGCATACACAGCAGGCTATGCTTCCACTCTTTTAAGCACGTTGAAATTTGCACATATGCGAGTGTAATATTGTTCATTAATATTTATTTCAGTTACTTATATAGCGCCGTCAATTTACGCAGCGCTTTACATATATATTGTACATTCACATCAGTCCCTAACCCTCAAGGGGCGTACAATCTAAAGCCCCTAACTCACATTCATACATACACATACTAGGGCCAATTTAGACAGGAGCCAATTAACCTACCAGCATGTCTTTGGAGTGTGGGAGGAAACCGGAGCACCTGGAGGAAACCCACGCAGGCACAGAGAGAACATGCAAACTCCAGGCAGGTGGTGCCATGGTCAGGATTTGAACCAGTAACCCTAGTACTGCCAGGCAGAAGTGCTAACCATTTAGCCACTGTGCCACCCTTAATAAATCTTTAATCTAAAAAGGATAAGGCACTATGGGTTTTTTTTTTTCCTTTATGCTATCCATCTGTGACATACTGGAGAGAGGTAACTAAAGGAAGGAGGAGACCTGGAGCGGAAACAGGAGATATCCAGCCATCCATTCCTTAACACAGGGATCAATTGATTGGAGAGACCCCAGGTGGATTATTACCTAATTACAACCATCCATAAAGTATTTGAGAATATCACATGCAGGAGAATTATGGTTACATCTGTCCTTTGAGGACAAAAAGCGAGTTTTGCCTAAAAATTATTAGGCGAAACATAAGTTGAGCGCATAATAATATCACACTGCATCTGGATTTTGGAGTGTTTTTTTCTGAACTGAAAGAGGACCCTGTTTCTACAAATATATTGACTTTGGTTATGCGGTTTATTGATATTAGTTAATTTGATTTCACATTGGGCAATTGCACTGTTATATAATTTGATTATCAGTTTTATATATATATATATATATATATATATATATATATATATATATATATTTTTTTTTTATTTATTTTTATATATATATATATATATATATATATATATATATATATATATATATATAAGTAAGTTTTGGAGATATTATCACCAGTTGCTATTAGGTGCATTTTTTACACAGTTTTAACACAGGAGTGCGGCACTATTGGTTATAATTATTTTGAGTCACATAACACTATTTAATGGGTTGTGTGTTTATTTATTTAATTAATTGATTATCACAGTCATTGTTTATCATAGTAGCTCACAAGTATATATATATTTTTTTAGACCCTGATAGCTAGTGAGGAGCTGATTAGCAGCTCAGGTGAGATAGTCAGAGGGGTCAAATTTTGGTCAGGACTGAGAGACTCTGCTAGCCAGCCCCTATGGAATTTACCCCTGCTCTGCGGCTTTCGATGGAGGGCCTTGGAGGCAGTGGGTGGATCTGAGGAGTGGTTGGCTGCACCTTTTGAGGGACCTCAGCCAATCCCAAGTGGAGGCTTGGCAGGGGGCTGGACTCCCTAAAAGTTGTAAGAGTCTGCTCAGTAGCAGGAGTGTGGTGGTGGGAGAGGAGTGTGAAGCAGGAAGATGTGAGGCTTGAGGTAGAAGACAGCCAGGAGACCTAGTGGGATGGGGCCTTCCTGGAGCTGGAAAAGAGAAAAACTCAGGACTCATTGGCCCCCTGAGAGAGGACCACCTGTATGGCAGGGAAGGAGCAGCCCAGCAGATAGGCCTGGTAACAGCAGCCATCCCGCAAGCGGTACAGGAGAGGATCTGAGTGAGTACACCTGCAACCCTCCGTGGATAGGGAAAGGAGCACTCTGATAGGAAACCAGATTAGCCCTCTGCTAGTGACTGAACACCTTACTTAGAGGAACGGGAGCCAGATCCCCTGCTCAGGAAGAAAGTCTCCATATTGCTGGGTGAAGAGGAGTTCATCTAGGGTCTGGGGTGGTACAACTGGATGAAGTGGCACTGATGAGCACTGATAGATGGCACTGATAGGGAGGCACTGATAGGCGGAACTGAAGAGCACTGATAGACAGCACTGATGGGGCTGTACTGATAATGAGCAATGCCCTGATTATAAGTGCAAATAAAGTGCTGACAGCCTTGCCAGGTATCGCTTGTTTCTTCCTCACACAGACACAGCATGTGGGGAAAGTACTGCCGATAACCATTAAGTCTGTTTACATTGTAATCAGCTGTGATTGGACACAGCTGATCATGTGGCAAAGAACGTTTGGGATTGGCCCTTTACCATGATATGCGATCATCTGTGTCCAAACAACACAGCGATCACAGTGCATGCCGGGAGAATGCCACATGGGGTGCACGGGGAGGCGTGGTTCCGGGAGGACATTCGAGGGATCCTCCAGGAACATCAACGCTGTCTTTTGGCTATAGCATGGTAAGAAAGCGATTAACCCCTGTGTGCGTGAGGCTTAAAAGTTCCCAGTGCCTCTGAGTGTGTTGATCAGGATCAATAAAAACCTAACAATTGTTCTAATCCCTTTCCATTGTATCCATAATTAAATTAACTAATTTAGCTTTTAGTAATGCTTTAAGGTCTCAACCATTCATTCAGCACATAGAAATAGTGAAATAAAAATACCAGTGGTTAAAAATGTTATTACAAACATCACCCCACCCGCTTTTGCTTACCATTTATTAAAAAACAAGATTCCATAATACAAAAGGGACTTGTAACCACAGTGAATTAATTAATTAATTAATTAATTAATTAATGAATGAAGAAAAAAGCTAACACTAGAACTAGACTATGGTAATGCCAAAGTATTCCACAATCCATTTACTACTGTGAATCTTTGTAAAGTATCTAGTTGGTGAAATAGGTTGTACATAAACCCCACAGATGTCCACAGCAGATTCATCTGATATCTCACGGTACCAAGCAAGTGCCCTGAGAGAGCAGCCTTTGTTTTAGGTAGGGACCAGCAGTGCACCATGGGGGTAACACGCTTAGGGGTATATTGATAGAGTAAAGAACATGGCATTCAAGAAAACACTGTAGATGAATTAAAGGCTAAGTTCACTTTTAGAAGCATGTTACATGTGACACCCATATTTAGGGTGTAACATGCTCCTATGCACCCTCCTCATGCCCCCCCTCTGACAGTGGGCGGGGAATCTTTTCCACACACCTGCTGTCACAATCTGAAAACAGAGCTGCCCAGAGCTGCAGGCATCATCCTGGTATCTTTTTTTTCATGTGGTGATCGGCTTTCATGTAAAAGTAATCCTAGTGGCTAATTAGTTGCAGGATTGCTTTTACAAGCAGCGGGAGACGATGGCCCCCCTCCCCGCTGCCTTCCATGGCCTTCTTGGGCAGTCCTGTGCCATCGGGGGAACCTGAGAATGCAGCTGGTGTTTCTGCCAGATGACCATAGAGCTGATTGGAGACCGGAATGGTGCCAATCATCTCTATAGTCTAAGAAATCGGAAGCTACGAGCATTTCATCACTTCAGTTTCGCAGGATATAAACAGCGCCATTTGTAAATTGGGAAAGCATCTGATCACACCGATCTTGGTGAGATTAGATAACGTAACGGCAGAGGAGATCTCTAGAGTCTGATAGACCCCATATTTCTAAAAAAAAGAATACATGACAATGCCCATTGAAGTTATAGGGGATATTTGCATTCCCCGTGATAGCATTAAAAGTGATAAAAAAAAAAGAAAGGGACCTTGTGCCAGTATGTAAACAGCGGTTGCACCATGCATGTGAGGTATTGCCGCAAAAGTCAGATCAAGGGCAGTAATTCTAGCACTAGACCTCCTCTGTATATCTAAAATGGTAGTTTGTAAAGGCTTTTAAAGCGTTGCCTATGGATATTAAAAATGTATGCAGTTTCTTGCCATTGCACGAGGCATGCACAGTTTTAAAGCATGTCATGTTTGGTATCTATTTACTCGGCATACCATCATCTTTTATATTTTAACAAATAATTGGCAAATATGTTGTGTTTTTGTGCATTAAAAGTTTGAAAAATCGCTGCATGAGTACTATGTGATATAAAAAAAATTGCAGCACCCACCATTTGTATTCACTAGGGTGTCTGCTTTAAAAATATATATATCATGTTTGGGGTTTCAAAGTAGATTTCTAGCAAAAATACTGATTTTTTTTCATGTGAACAAAAAGTGTCAGAAAAGGTTTGGTCTTCAGATGGTGAGAAGAGTGAATGATGTGTGGCTTAAACTTCTAATGCTGGGCATAAAATGCTCCCTCCCCCAAAAACGACCCCTTTTTGGAAAGTAGCCACCCTAAACTATATGAGGCATGTTGAGCCAATAGAATAATTTATTTTTTTACCACAAGTTTTTGGAAAAAATTTACACACGCACACACTTACACACACACAAACACACACACAGTATATACAATATTTTTTTCCTACAACGTTATCATTGTCTTACTGTTTGTAGCTGAAGGCTATATCAGCAATCATCTTTCTCCTCTTCCGATATTCCTGATCAGAGAAACCCTGTGAAGAGTAATGGGACTGATCAACAAAATCATTGTGCTGATCTTAAAGTGGAACTTCCCAGCAGGGGATGAGGGGTTTTCTCAGCTAAGCACACCCTCCTGTCTGCTTGCCTGAGCTAATAGCAGATAGAATCCAGGAAGGACAATAAATGCTACATGAATTATCAGCCCTTATTCAAGATGGCCACAGCCAGAAATGCTAGGGGGTGTTTTTCAAAGTGATTTCTCAGCAAAATAAACACTGGAGATACGGATGGATGGATGGATGGATGGATGGATGAGTTTACTTTGAATATTAAAAATGAATTAAATAGCATTTGTTGGTTTGTTGTTCTCAAATGCAGTATAGTGCTGCTTTAATACAAAAGGGCAAAGTATTGTATGATAGGTTATATTGCTAGTACTTGTCTATTTATCTAAAGAGGACTATCTATAATAGAATTATGAGATCTGCCTTGTTTTTGAAGATGCAGGCACAAGGTGGTCATCCTGTGTTCCTTGTTCTTTGTGCTAATGGCTACTGTGTTCATTGTAATATTAATTCCTCTGCCCCCCACCATCCCTATACCCCCACAGCTGTGAGATTCTGGTGCTGCAGGGGTTAATATAAGTCACTGGAGCTGTCACAGGCATTTGCCAAATGTGCAGACTATGCCCGTACTTTCTGCGCCCTTCTCCATTCATGAAAACTGTGCTTTTGCTTTCCACAAAGCACTCTATGAATGGAGGAGTCAGTCCTTTCTTTTATCTGCCTGCCCTCCATTCATAGAGCTCTTATCATTGCAGGAAGTGATAGTACAACTTTTAATAATGAAGCAGTGGGGCAGAAAGGACGGGCATAGGCAGAACCTTTGATGAGAGCATGTGAGATATACAATGGCTCTTACTGACCCCCAAGTGCTGGAAGCTCACAGCTGCAGGGGTATCTGGAGAAACAAAGGAATTATGATTTCACAAGGGACACTTTTCATTTGATGTAAGTATCATCCCTGGTGATGCTAAACAAATATATAGTATTTAACTAAACTTAAAAATTAACTACATGATGCATTATTCTTTATATATGTAGCAAATTCATGGTTAGCCTGCTAGGTACATTTAGTTTTTGGCTCCTTCTGTAGTCAGGGGAGCACAGTGTTTGTTTGGTCTGGCCTGTTCAGGTTTTCACAGGCTGGGAGTTTGATTGCATACTCCTGCCTCTGGAAGACGTTTCTGGAACTTAGGGATGGAGAATTTAAAAAAAAAACAGCCTGACTATTGAGCAGGGCCCAGGAGGCTAGGATGTTGGTAAATAGTCTGGAAACCTGAGTCTTTTTCCCTGCTGAGGGAATGGAACTGTGAGCTGAAAGGAGAAGGGCTGTTTGACTGGATGCTGGACTGCTCTACAAGCGGCTGGACCTATGGAGTGGCGTTAAACCTTGGATTGGTGTTAAACCTAATTCATCGTCCCAAGTCATGAACCAATGGACTGTTCCAGTCTGCCTTTACCTGTTCTGCATCCTACTCCATCGTCTTCACCCGTGAACTTGTGGACTGTTCTAGTCTGCCTTTGCATGTTCTCAAACCCAGTTCATGGTCCCCAACCATGAACCCTTTGACTGGTCCAGTCTACCTGTGCTTGTGCTACTGTTACTAAGAGAGAATTTCCCCTGCTAACAATATCTAAAAGTTTTGGAGCAGCTAAAAAAACATAAAATCGGTGCTTTCAGTGGGATGAATTTTGGACAAATTAATGAGGCTGCACATTGAATGTAACTATGGCATTTATCTGTACCATAATAATGCAAGTAGTAATCAGTACATATATCTCTCCTGTTTAATTTTGTGTGTGAATTGATTAGAATGACAAAGAGGTCACAGTATTGACCGAGAAAGCTGCCACAATAATACAGATGGATGGGACAGTGGAGTAGAAAAGGAGCATAGTACTGTCAAAGGACTAATAACATTCCTTGCCTAATAAAGCCAATTTGATGTGTTGGTACAATGTGTTAAGGCGTACAACTTACCGGGTGATCTAAATCTAAGTCTGGATCAAACTTGGTAACCAAATGGTGACACTTGTTCAATTCTGAAATTTTAGTGGGAAACCAATGAACTGTAAAGCAAAAAGAGGCATTGTTGCAATCAGGTCTGGCAACAGGAAAACCTGGACCTGGAACTTCCAGCCAGGCTAGGGAATAAGATCATTACATGCATACACAGCTACACAACTTATTTTAAGCTTTATAGTGGTATTTAACCCTGGTAGTGTTTTAGTTTAACACAATTTATACCCCAGCACTTGCAGTTTATGGCTTTCAATGCTGTTGGCTCCTGCTCTCTTAGTTCTGCTTCTCTGAACTTCTGGTCTTCACAGGAAAGCATTAACAGTTGACAGTGCAGTCTCAAGGAAATCTTTTAGCTTGAAAAAGGGAGGAGGAGGAGGATGGAGGAGCAGGGGAGTGCCATCAAAGACTACAGGGCTGTGTGTTTCTATTGATACACACAGGGTAGGGAGACAAAACTCTGGTCCCTGCATGCATGGGTAGCTCTATAGCATGCAGCAAGAGAACGTAGCTACCCTGAAACAGGAAACCTGAGGAAACTGGTACTGTAAGAGAGGCAAAGCTTAGATAAAGAAGCTTTATACTCAGCAAATGATTACATTAGCTGTTGAAAGTGCTTAAAAATGAGCATTTGGTTATCATTTTCTGTTCCGTCAGCTGATACTATTTTGCACTGCTATCCACTGAAATCAGGTTTTATCTCTAATAACATAGTGTCAGGGAATGGCTGCAACAATCAGTTATTCACCATCGTAAAACAATCAGACTGGGCACATCTCTGCAAGACAAATGATAGCAGGTAATGATCAGGACAGAACATCTGAACTGCACTTGTCCTCCACTGCGTATTACAAGGGACAAAGGTCCCTGCTACTATACTCCTATTGTTTAAGATCAAAACTGAGGGCTGAAGACTTTCCTTATTGAGGCATGACTCCCTTTCTACATTTCAGAGGTACACATGTGACCCACTGTTAATTTTGTTCAGCCCAGTCTAGACATGTACATACCTTTCATCTCTTTAGTAGTCCTAACATCTTCTGACACTCTTTTGATGGAGCTCATTAGTGTGTTGAGATCGGAGCGATGAACCTCACACCGTACAAAATATTCCACATCTGGGGCTGATGATGATGTTTTCTTTCCAAGTCGAGTCTCCAGGTGCTGTATTTTGGCTTCAAATGTCTGTAATACAAGAAAATTTACAATAAAAACGTGTCAGGGTTTTTTAGATTTTAAAGGATAAAATATGAAGTTTATTGGTTACAGGGTCACATGAATGTTTATCAACCTCAGGGCTGTAGAACAGGAAAACTGGTTTTGCAAGATACACTATAAAGACTATAAATGTAAATGACATCATATTATCTAAAAGCAAATAAAATGGTGTTGCGCTAATATCAATAGTACTAAGGACACAATAATTCGAAGAGTGGGGAGACAGAAAAAATAACCCCAAAACAAAGGTGATAAGTATAAAGGCCTGAATCCAGACCTAATTAGGTGCAATATGAACTGTGACAAAGACAACGTGAGTAATAATCAGCAAGTGAACATAAATAATACATAAAAATGTAAAGGCCTGAACCCAGACCAAACTAAGTGCAATATAGACTGTGATGAAATACAACGTGAACAATAGTCACCAAGTGAACATAAATAATGTATTCAACATAATAGGACTAACACATTTTAAATAAAAGTGCACAAAAAACTGTGCCAAAATCAAATGGCAAAAAATATGTGCAAAACTAATCATACAAGGTGCATGAAACTATAAATGCATGAAACTATAAATGCATCATGAATGATACATAAAAATGTAAAGGCCTGAAACCAGACAAAACTAAGTGCAATATGGATTGTGATGAAAACAACGTGCACAATAATCAACAAGTGAACATAAATGATGTATTCAACATAATAGGACTAACACATCCTAAATAAAAGGGCACAAAAGGCTCCCTGCAAAGAAAACTGTGACAAAATAAAAAAGCAGAAAAATATATGTTTCAAACTAATCATACAAGGTGCATGAAAATAAAAATGCACCTTATAATCAGGATTGATGCCAGTGAAAAATGCACAGTGGAAATAAATGTGCGTCGATAAGCACAAAAAATAATTAAAGCAACGTGACATCAAAATAAACATAAGTGATCATCAAATCGGCATAAAGTCCATGTAAATAGTTTTTTTTCCTTGTGCTAGTGGTGTCTAGGTCTAGGTGTTTGCAGCTTTTTTCAATAGTCCTATCTATACCTATAGCAGCGCAGAAGATTTTTTTTTTTTTATCTAAAAGGAAAATAGGAAAGTGTTGTTTTTACTATTCTATATGGCCCAGGCGTAAGATGGAAAATTATGGTGCAGGATTTATACAGAGATTGTTGGAAAAGTCATAATTAGGTTATGAAATTGATCTCTGGATAAATAACACCTCTATCACAAGTATCACATAATTAAAATTATAGGATACTTAAGATTAGTATTACAAATAATTTCAAACACCCCAGAAGAACATAGCTATACACCCAATAAGTGAAATAACATATTTAAATTAAACTAGGGAAATAAAAAAATATATATCAACTATAAGATTAAATTGAATAAAATCCAAGTTTTATTCCCAGAGGACCTAATATAGGGCTTTCTAGTCTTACAGTGCCATCTGATGGAAAAGTGAATCCAATGACTATGCAAACAATTAACTAATCAGTAATATTTCCCTGAAGGTCCTACTGGGAATGTGGCTCCTAATTCAACACCAATCACTTTCTAGGTAATGTATAATTACCTTAAAAAAAGTAATCTTACTCCTGAATATAACTTACTATAACATATGTCCTTATTTGTGTGTTAAATTTTGATTTTACCTGTCACTTACAGTGCCACAATCCCAAAGAAAAAGGTAATAACACAGCCTGTAGATAGACTTGACCCCTTTTATTCTGCTGCAGAGAAAGAAAAGGGGATGAAATGATAAATGCAGACCAAGTTGTCTGCTAGGTTAGTTATATAATTGGTACTCTGTACCCTTGTTGTGATACCTACAAGTGGACAGCAAATTATTAAATCCATCTTACTGTTAGGCATAAGATTTTAGCTGTATAAATCTTTTTTTACTTGTGGAATGTACATTTTATGTGTCTGTGTCATACTATTAATCCTGCTGCTATATGTGGTTGTTAGTGACTTAATTGTTAAATAAATCTTCTTTTATTTTTCTATTTCCATAGTCCATACTTTCACACCATTTTATTGTGCTTAAACATATATCTGCATAGAGAACAAAATTACTGATTAATTATTTGGTCAGCATAATTATATTTAACCATATATTTCATAATGGAGACACCCTAATATATCGAACAATTAAACAATAAATATCCGTTACCTAATTAATTGTTGAAGGCACCCTAATATATCGATAGATTAAACAATCGATAATGCTGACTTAATCATTCAAACTTCCTGACTAACAAATATTAAATATAGTTACATTTAAAATGTCAAGAAACCCACATAATTAAAAACTATAAATAAATGCTGGTTTACACACTGTTCATACATACTGAGTCACTATGGGATTCATTTTCTGTGTATTCTGCAAAAAACCTGGTTGATCCTGCTGTCCTCTATCTCCCCCTTCTGTCCATGTCCCCACTGCAGTTGGGGATTTTGTAGAGCAGTGTTGGCAGCTAGTGCACATGCTCAGTTTTAAGTGTATTTTCTACCTTGAGCATTTCCTCCTTATCATATCTGAGCAACCCATGTGACTATAGAGTCACTCACGTGGGCATATACACACTGGTAAATGACAGTCCACTCTCTCTCTCTCTCCTCCATGCCCACTAACCAGCTAAACCCATTGGGGGCGGGATATTACATCTTAACTGATGATGGCGTCAGCTCCCTGTTTAAAGGCACAGGCTGGAGGGTGTAACACAGCTTGTCACTGACAGAAATCCACCCACACCATGTTATTGCTAAAAAAAGAATAACAATTTAACTTCAATTATACAGTGTTTCAAAAAGAATGATCTGGTTTACATTATAGGTAAAGTTGATGCAGGGAATATCTGATTGCTTCTCATGAGATCAGGAAAGAATTTTTTTCCCTGCAGGAGCAAATTAGATCATGCTTTACTGGTTTTTTTTTTTTGCCTTCCTCTGAATCAGCTGTGGGTATAGGATTATAACTTTTTTTTTTTTAATGGTTTAACTGGATGTACTTTTGTCTTTTTTCAGCCAGACTAACTACAGTATGTAACTATGTAATTTTAAAACCATATATATCTGTGAAACCATGCATCGCCAATGATTGAAACCTGTACTGCTTGAATGGGCGTGGCCCAGAATTACAAATGATGGTTGCTAGATACCATTACTAGTGCCCAAATCGAAGATAACCTCAGTCATTAACAACATGGCATCTATGCAACAGAAGGCATTTTGTGTTCTCCAGTTTATCAAGACGTGATAACGGTGCAGCGTGCGCATCAACAGCATTTTGGGATTGATCCACCAGTAGCAAAGAACATTCATTGTTGGTATAAACAATTCGAAGAATCAGGGCATTTATGTAAGCGGAAGAGTCAAGGGCAACCATGCACTTTAGAGGAAAATGTACAACAAAATCAAGAGGCTTTTCAGCGAAGCCTGCACAAGTCGTGTGTTAGCAACTTTCGATCCTCAATCAACTGGTGGCGTGTGTTAAGATGACGTTTGTTTCTGAGTTTGGAGCATTTCCCACAACTTAATGAAGACTAAAGATTTCATTTTTCAGCAAGACCAGCACTCCAGATTAGCACAACCACGTTCATCGGTTTCTAACTGAAGCATTGCCTCAACATTGGATAGGTCGTACTACACTCTTGGCCTCCATGATCTCCAGATGTTGCACCTGGTGACTATTTTTTGTGGGGATATGTAAAATGATGTGTTTATGTTCCACCACTATCCGCTGACTTGGATGAGCTCAAAAGCAGAATCATGGATCTAGTTACTTCTGAGGAAGAAGGCACTCTCAGACACATTGGAGACTAATTCAGCTATCGTCTTTATTATTGGTGCAGCAGGTAGAGGGCACATAGAGCATTTATAGCACAGTAAGTGAAATTTCAGGACATTTTATATAATTTATAGTTTGTTATGTAACTGTATCACATTTTCATTATTAAATATAACTTTTTGAAATCGGGACATTCTTTTCGAAACACACTGTATAATTGTATGACAGTTTAAAACAGTTTATTAATATTATTATTTATTTTTACTCAGTATCCCAAAGATTGGTTTATTTATTTTACATATGTTACCAATAGCAGAAGACTAGAAGCTCCTTCTATCACTGTTTCCCTGCAGCTTTGATAGGGTTGCCCATAGTAATCAGACTCTATTCAGTTTCTAGACCAAGTTTGGAAATAAGAGATACTGTATATCCTAAATGGTTGTTTTGTGCAATGCAGATATTCCTTTCAAACACTTTTATAAATTAAATCAACTGACCAACACAATGGTTTTAAATGGTCATTGTTTTAAATACACTTAAGAAATTGATTAGCTACCTGTTCCTTGACCACCATTAAAATCCAATTCTTCTTTTTTAAAAATGTGTTCATAGAAATGTGCTTTCGTTCCTCTGGTCCCCATTAATGCACCTCTCTCTGTGTTGTAGCAGAGGATCAGAATTCACATAGTCATCTAAAGAAGACTGTTATCAGAACTCGAAAGGGAAAATTTTAGTCTTCTTTACTTTTTATTAACGTGGTTATAAAGGTTTAAGGATTTTACCTTAATGCATTATCTGCATTAAGGTAAAAAACCTTCTGTGTTTAATTTCCACCCCATCCTAAATACTTACCTGAGCCTGATCTCAATCCAGTGCTGTTCCCGAGAGCAGCGTCTCTCTCTGTTTTCTCCATCCTCACTGGGCATGAAGGCAGCATTGTGAGTGATTGGCTCCTGCTGCTGTCAATTAAATGCTGTGATAAAGGAGCTGGGGCATGGCCATGCCACAATATGTGTGTCTGTGGACACAGACAGTGTAGCTTGGGTTCAAGCCTGTATGAATGCCCCCATAGGAAGAGGCTTACCATAAGGGCACTCGCCAAAGACGAGAAGCCCAAAGTGCCCCCCAGCGGACCCCAGAAAAAGGAGGATCGGGGTTGTTCTGTGCAAAACCA